ACCTCGTGAAGACCAATGCCGGACAATGCGTCGACTATAACACTGTGACCTTCATCCATGTCTCAAGTGTCGGTGGCAAACTCTGATTTGTAATCCAACTGACGAATTTCTCGAATTGAGAAGCGATCAGAGGAACCACAAAAAAACAAAAGTAGGGTGCCATTGATCCGTAAGGATGCTAAATGTACTTATTTTAATAAGCCATTTGATCGGAGTTGGATAAGCTCAGGATCATTGGCTTGCGCGGCAGATATTCTCTCCAGGTCGGTGACAGTTGATTCAGATGAGCACGCGATGACGCGTCAGCAACAGTGTTGTTAAGATCCTCGATGTAACGGACGTCCACACAGTTGGGTATGAATCTGACGTAATAGTTGACTGTGCAGAAGAATCGGCGTAGGCTTTTGACAGCTGATGGCATGGGGTAGTCTAGGATCGCTTGAGTCTCATCCGGAAGAGATTTGATGCCACCATCATCGATCCTGTGACCCAGAAACTCAACGATGGGCTCACTACATGTGTCATAAATTTCATGTCAATCGGTCAAATCTGCATCAGCTGTTTTAACTTGCGTATTAGCGATTTCTCGACTTGTTCGATTCTATCACAACCTGTCGCATCGCAAACGAAGCGGCTCGTGTCAGCTAGAACTGTATGCATTTTTCTAACATAGTCATCTTTATTCATCATAACTACTGCTTCTCCTTTATCCGGTCCCAGTATTTCCGCACTCACATTTCGTCGTAATTCCGTTAAGGACTCCCAGTGGTGTTTCCTCAAAATGGTACACTTTTCTGTTTTAGTAACACGAAATTGGTTGGCCAGCGTATGTCCAATTCCAGTCACCGCAACAACAGACTCCCGACACTAACACTGAACAAACTCCACCCACCCAACCGATGTGCGGCTCCAGTGCTCCCTGTCCTCCCCAACCAGCACTTGTCACAAACTCAGACACACAAAAGCGTACAAGTTTTGGACGTGCAGTTATTCTTCCTTCGAAGCTAGCTACTCACGTCAGATGCCAATATCGAGCGTTCATTTGCTTTACTCAAGCTCTAGGGGGGGGGAGGGCGGAAGTTCTGTAGCTGCAACGAGTTTACTTGACATTACAAGAAAACGGATATCCAGAGAAGTTCAAAGTACAACACTCAAAGACGAACGCGAGTACTAAGAACGAACGGGTGCCCGAGGTCCATAAGAAAAACGTGTTCATAACGCTACCATTCAAAGGCGACTAAACTGACGGGAGATTCCGATACCGTCACCAACCATTTATGAAAAGTGTTATTACGATCGGCAGTCTGTTGCGCTTACGCGCCATCTGTAGCTTATTGCTTTGTGGTCAAGCTGGGACCATTGTGTTTTAGAAGGTGGACGCCAGGTAGCAGTCTGTCTTTTTGAATTAGAAAAACTTGTCCTCGAAATAAACAAGCGATGCTCAGCACAAAGAGTCAGTAGCCTGTCTCCATTGTCTGATCGGTTGCTACCAAGGCCAAAACTACCCACAAGATGATGCTCACTTGGTGGTAGGTTGCCCACTCATGCGTTAAAATTTCCGGCAAGTATGATAACTTCAGACTTTTTGTCGGAACGCTGAAGCTCATGTAGCTGTTGGCATCCATTCTTCAGTCTGTAGGTGCTTAGGCGGAGATAACAAACAAGGCACACGTAACATCTCGACGCTTACTTAACTTACATGAACCTCGTAGTCTGACTGCACATAGTCGACTGTTGACTGGGACCCAGTTAAGCAAAACGACCCCAGCATTGTAAATGCGCAACACCGACACCAGTTTGGCCAAATGTGGCGGCCTCTGGGTCTCCGGAAAGGTCCAGGTGCTGTTTGGCGTCAGGGTTTGCCGGAGATGTCATTCTGATGACCTTCTGGCGTCTTGCAACCGGGTTTCGGAAAGGTAACAAAGATCCACCTAGAGTATCTCAAGCGTGCGGACTAGACATGCTTGTCATCTGATCTGCATCAGATTGCGTACATTGAACGCTGCAAAGGTGAATGAAGAACCAGGACGAAGGAAAGCTTAGGCTTCGGTTGAGTGGGAGGATGTTGTGACCACCAGGCAACGAACACCAAACATTTGGCTCAGAACTATGTCATATGCGACCAGTGAGCTTTTGTTGACGGTGACCGGGGAAGATATAAATGCAGTTGAAGATCGGGACGTGGGACAATCTGTGAGCGGATGTTGAGCATCAGAGACAGTGAAGCCAGTAGACATAGAAAGACGGAAAGCAAAAGTGTAATCCATCCATGATTCCTCAGTGGGCGTGATACTACCCGCTTGCCCAGGCCGAAGTAGAAGGTTGTCTTAAGGGGCCCCACCCCGTGCATTTGATCCAGGATTTAAAGGCGTATGAACCATTTGTTTAGGCACCGGCTCCCAACGGGTTGCGATACCCTCATATCGCCCTGCTGCCTTGTAGGTTAGATCCTTGATCAAAGGCTCGGGGTGGGGCCCCCTAAGACAACCCTCTACTTCGGCCTGGGCACTGGAAGGTGTCCAGGACTGCGGTGTTGAGCTTCTCCCTGGAGACAGAGTCACGGACTTGGACTACGCCGATGATATCGCCTTGCTGGGGGACGACCCACAATCCGTCCAGAACGCTCTGGACCGCTTGGCGATGGAGGCGTCTAAGTACGGCCTGTGCTTCACTCCGGGAAAATGTAAAACGCTGCTCCAGGATTGGCAGGTGCCTGAATCCGCGCTCACCATTGCTGGACATGTTCTGGAGCAAGTCTCTTGCTTCACTTATCTAGGGAGTTGCATCACGGCTGGTGGCGGTGTTGGAGATGAAGTCTGACAACGGGTTGCAAAGGCCCGCCTTGCATTCATCAAACTGAGACATCTATGGCGTCGTCGTGATGTCAGTCTCAAGCTCAAGGGCAGGGTGTACAATGCTTCCGTCCGTGCAGTACTCTTGTACGGCTGTGAGACATGGCCTATTCGCTCGGAAGATATGAAGCGGCTATCAGTCTTTGATAATCGCTGTCTACGAAGGATTGCTCGGGTGTGGTGGCAACACCACGTAAGCAACGCAGAGGTGCGGGACCGCGTGCTTGGGGCGAATAGTGCCAGTCTTCAAGACGTTATTCTCCGACATCGCATGCGCTGGCTCGAGCATGTTCTGCGCATGCCAGCCCATCGCCTTCCACGTCGAGCGCTATTTGCACTCCCAGGGAGCGATTGGAAAAAGTGCCGCGGTGGACAGCCGATGACGTGGAGAAGGAGTATGAAGAAGGCGACCTCAAGTTTGGCAGCAGTCGGACCAGTCCGCCTTCCAGGTTGGGGACCACGAGATGCTGAATTGCAGTGGTTGGAAACATTGGACGTCATGGCCCGCAACAGACATCAGTGGCGGCAATGTTGTTCCGCAATTTCACAATCTCTTTGATGCACACAAAAACTCACAAAACAAAAAATACGAAATGGCGTGTGTAAAACCAAAAAAATCGTTTCCCATATTTTTTAAAAATCGCATTAGTGTTTCCATCTTTTTCACCTTTTTCTTCTGCCGTGGTTCTGATGGCACAATGTCTGTTAACAGACTGTGAATATATATATATATATATATATATATATATATATATATACATATATCCAGGATTTAACCTACAAGGCAGCAAGGCGATATGAGAGTATCGGAACCCGTTGGTAGCCGGTGACCAAACAAATGGTTCATACGCCTTTAGGACCGCATAGGACCAGGAGCCCAACACACCCTTGCCGCTCAGAGAGGCAAGGGGCAGTGACTATTTAGTGGCGAGTCACAGTGTTGTTACATGGACATATGTGGCTTTTTATAGGGAGAACGCTGGTCAGGCGAGACCCCACCACATCTTGAAACACTGCCGCTGAACCATTCGCCTTAACGGGATTAACCTGAACCACCCAGCTGGCACCACGGAAAGGCTGCTCGATACTGACCAGCCACAATAAAACAGCTGTCTATTATTTCCCGAATGTGTACTGGTTGTCTGACTGAATCTAGCCTTGACGAGCTTTCTGAAAGTCACAATCAGTTGTTAAGCTTTTTGGCACAGCACTACCTATTGCCTTTTACTTTCGGTAATGAGGCACAACAGATTCGGTTTTATGAATCATAACTATAGGGGCACTTGGAGGTTGTCAATTCCCTGCGGTTGGCGTCAATCCGCGCGCCATCGTAACGCGCCATTTTAAACATGGTTGAGGTTATATCATAACATATTCTATGACACGTGTAAGACACTCTATGTTCCGTGTTTCTATAAAAGCTGACACATTCAAACGGCAAAAATTATCAGTTTATTTGGTCGTTATGTCTGACCGCTGAGATTCCGTTACAAGCCATACCTCGTTGTATGGCTCCACGACCTGCCTTCCAGCTCTCAGGGAACAATCAGATGGGTTGAATCGCTTGAAATCGACTCTCATAGAACAACATAACTTTCGAAACACTGTTGGTTGTGACTTCCAATCTCGTCCTGCTGGTTTCACGCTTGATCATCTTTTGGCCGATTTGTCGAGGCAGGACGTTGTATCCTGCTAAGATTTTCACTCTATCAATTGAAAACGTCTGCTAACATCCGACGCCTTTGTATTACTTAATTCACTTATTAGCCTCCTGTGTCTGTGTGACACATCTGTTTGGTTTAGTTTACTTATACTTTCTTTCGCCTTACTCTTCATTTCAAAAATTACACTATTTTGTTCCATCACGACAACCTTTTTTGGTGTTTTTCTCTGATCTCGCTTTGGTCACCCGTATGACAATGAGGAGTTAGAGATCCGTCTGTGATGAATATTTTAGAGGATAGGGTAACCATATTGTAGCTGACATGTCTCTGCATTTGCCAACCGTTCCTCAATCCCTTTTTACACTGCTTCTCATCCGCTCTTGGGTAAGTCACTCCAGGTTACTTGCGTTACGTTTAGTTTCCGTAGAATTTCTTAGTACGCTCCAGCAGCATAGCTTTCTTGTTGAAACGCTTTTTGTTTCAGGAACTAAATGAGCTCGAGCGAATGATTCAAGAGTACTGCATTCAAAAGGGCTCCTGTGAAGTTTGTCCACGGGGTCCTATGGATGTCGAACGGAGCTCCATACAGACAGAGTCTCACAACGTACATGCCGTAAGTGATAGACATTAATTGGTCATTGTTCTGTTGAACACAGTGCTAGATGTTATCGCCCGTATTTCTTTGTGCGTGTGAGATTTGTCAGTTTGAGCATCTTTGTCCGCGAGCATTGCTGGTTTTTGGGTGTCACCGTAGTACCCGCAAAGATGGTGTGCATTGGCAAGGACTACACTGTGATAGTCTGGTTATTTCTCTATAGCAACAGCCAACATTGAGTCAGATGCGTTGGTTTGGACACGGGTTACTTATTCGTAGTCGTCGGTTGTCGAAGGGGTCGTTCTTTTATGCGTCAAATGTCGACCCCTACAATGCTCGAGGTGGGCTAGATTTGACTTGGCGATTGAAAATCCAATCACAGGCTGCTGAAGTGGACGCTGTTGGTCCAGGTTGGAGTCCAGGCGACTCACTTTGTGCTTGACTCGAGACTTTTGGAATACTAGCTGGCAGTAAGCGCCAGTGGCGCGGTTGTTATCACCTCATAGTCAGACCGTATGTTTAAAGTGTGTCTAGCATTGCCTTAGCTACGGGTCTCATTCATACCGCTCTGTCATCGCACGATACTTAACTGTTCATAACCGTGTGTTGTCGACAAGGTGTGGATGCATATTCGCATTGAATATCTGCTGATGATATTTAGGTTTTGCACTAGTTCTCCATTCTGCCATTTTATTTCTCATTATTCCCAAGTGCATCATGGTTGCGTGGCAGAGAAGCATCAATTCCCATGAGTGACGTGCTTTTATCAATCATTTGACTGTCCGGTTCAGTAGTCCTTATGCAGTCAAACTCTGTGATGTTTCTAGCAGAGATGTTTTATCCGACCCCAGTCTCCCCTCGCGCTTTGCACCTAATTGTCCAAGAGCTCAACAACAACAAGAGTCGCATCCTCGGATTGCGCACCCATTTAGACCTATCCATGGTAGTAGTAGTAGTAGTAGTAGTTATCTCAACAGTCTAGTAACTAGACATAGAGCCAATAAAAACCATGGAAATCAGTGGATTGGAGAGTCATTGCGTTATAATCATCTTGGCATGCTAGTTGAAGGTATTCAACACACTTCAGCTAATATACCTCAAGAAGAATGGAACATTTTGACAAAAAATAGAACAAAACCTTTTTAGCTTGTTTTTCACACGCCCATTTTTCTCTTTTTTTGTCATTTTAAATGTTGGTATTATTAAACATGTGAATCAATACAATACACACAATACACAATACAACACTGTACACAATTCTTCCACTGATTCCGGTTGCGGACCATGTCTTCAAGAGTCCTAAGCCATTGGCACTCCTCATCTTTGGGTCCCCATCCTGGAAGACGTACGGATCCAACAGCGGCTAGACACGACGTCAGCGATTTCATGTGCTGCCGCCAAGTGGAAGGCTGACCACCACGCAGTCGCTTCCAGCCAGGTCCTTGACGAGCGAATAGAGCGCGACGCGGTAGACGCTCAGGTGCCATGCGTAGGACATGACCGAGCCATCATAACTGGCGCAACAAAATCAGTTTGTTGAAGGAAATACTTGCATTCCCCAAGATGCGACGTCGAACGTCATTACTGTTAACTCGATGTTGCCACCAAACACGCGCGATCCTCCCTAAGCAACCGTTATCGAAGGCAGAAAGACGACGCATGTCTTCCACGCGAATCGGCCAGGACTCGCACCCATACAACAATACTGAGCGAACTGATGCACTGTAAATGCGGCCCTTTAGTGGGAATGAGACGTCACGACGACGTCACAAGTGCCTCAGATGGACAAATGCTGATCGAGCTTTAACGATACGATGAGAAACTTCTTTGTTGATAGTGCCGTCAGCAGAAACACAGCTCCCAAGGTACACGAAACTATCTACCTGTTCAAGTTGTGCACCTTGGAGAGTGAGCATGGGAGCAGGTGAAAGCCAATCCTTGAGCAGTATTTTACACTTCGATGGGGCGAAGCTCATGCTATACTTAGATGCTTCAACCGCCAAACAATCCAGAATGAATTGCATGCACTGCGGATCGTCACCAAGTAAGACGATATCATCAGCATAATCTAACTCGGTCACGCGCTCACCCGGTAGAAGCTCTAGGCCAAAATGTTGGAAACCTTCTAGGGCATTCGACAGAACGTCTTCGATTGCGAAGTTGAAGAGGAATGGGGACATAGGGCAGCCCTGTCGTACACCGCTATTGACAGCGAATTGCGAGGAAAGCTTGCCATAGACCCTCACTCTGCCGGATGTATGGAGGTAAAGTGCTCGTAAGATGGCAGTATATTTCTCTGGCACCCCTTTCTTTAGTAAGCAACGCCATAAAGCAAGTCGATCAACGGAGTCAAAAGCGGCACGCTTGTCTAGGAATGCAATGATAGTGGGCCTGTGATAAATGTGGCGATGTTCAGGGAGCTGGCGGAGCGTGAATATTTGATTCACTCATCTGCGGCCAGGACGGAAACCAACTTGCTCTTCACGGTAGTATGATTCACGTACTGGGGATAGTCTACGAAGCAGAATGGATGCCAACAGCTATGAGGCAACCGAAATAAGACTAATCCCGCGATGATTTGCACATGAAGTGCGAGCGCCTTTCTTGAAAATTGGGACAATAACTGATTCGCCCCAAGAGGAGGACACTTTCTCTTCATGCCAAATTTTTGCGAACAGCGCGGTTAGCTGGTTAATGATCGCCACACCGCCGTACTTGAATAGCTCCGGAGGAAGTCCGTCTAAGCCGGCAGCCTTGAAGCGCTTCAAGCGTCGAATCTCAAGGCAGACTTCTGCTTCGCTGGGTGGATTCAATGGGACGAGCCAGGGTGGACAACAAGGTGTACTGCATGTACTGATGGATGGTGGAGGCCAGTTGAAATGCGAGTGAAAGTGCTCTGCCCAGTGGTCCTTACGCCTCTGTTGGTTGGTGATCGGAGACTCATCCACCTCACAAATGACCTCACTGACACCAGGCTTTCTGAGGTCAGTGGACCGGATGAGTTGGAATAACCTGCGAGTGTTGCCAGAGAGGGCAGCAGTCTCCATCTCTGAAGCACGCTCAGACCACCATGTCTCGCGATCCTTGCGTAGGCTTTGCTTGAGCAGCCGGTTGGCAGAACGGCGCCGCTCGTTGCAATCTGATTTCGCGGGTATATCTGCGGCGTTCGAACAGCTCCAGAGAACGAGCAGAGATCCAAGACTTCAAAGGGCGTCGAGTTACACCGCAGCATGACTGTCCGGAAATGGTCTTCGCTTTCCGTATACAAGTCCAGTGTTGTTCCACTTCTTGCGGTGGATTGCAACTGAGTGCATATGCCAGTGAAGACTGATAACTCTCCTGGACAGAGGAATCAGTTAATCTGTTTACATCAATATTGCGGTGCTTCGTGTTTCGAGATCCTCCAAAACACATACAGATTTTCGCGCAGACCAGAGCATGATCTGAATCAACGAAAGTGGACCAAAAGGACCTGCAGTCCAGTACGCTTCCGCGCCATCTGAAGTTAATCGCAATGTGATCAATCTGAGACCACGGTTGTGTTGGCGCCGGGGGACTCCACGTTGCGGAACGCTTCTTCGTACGCCTGAAGCTAGTGTTCGAAAGAAACAGACGGTTGTCCTCGCACAATATGAGAAGTCTCTCTCCGTTATCAGAGCGGTTCACATCGAGCGCGTGATGACCACCAAGGTGGCGTTCGTATGGTAACAGGCAGCCAACCCGTGCATTAAAATCCCCAGCAAGGATAACGACATCCGACTTTTTAGCATTAGTCAAGAGCTGTTGTAGATCTCGGTAGAAATCGTCCTTGACCGAGTCGCCACTGCCGTCGGTTGGAGCGTACACAGAGATCACAAACAAGTTGCGTCTCTCTTCTCGGTGCTTGTTAATTCTACATGAACGCCGAAGCCGAACTGCACATAGTCGGCTGTTAATCGGGAACCAGTCCAGTAGTGCCGCCTCAGCCTTGCCACTCAGTGCTATACCTACACCAGCCAAACGTGCTGAGGCTGCTTCTGGATCTCCAGAAGGACGCAGGTGATATCTGGCTTCGTGGTCAGTGGGGGATGTCAATGTAAGCACAGTGCTGGGATCTTGCAATCGGGTTTCTGAAAGGCAGCAGACATCAATGTCTAGGGAATCTAGGGTGCGCTCTAGACCGGCTTGCTGTCCATTCTGCATGAGTGTCCGAACGTTGAAGCACGCCAGACGGAACGAGGATCGGGGACGAAGTAGAGCCATAGGTTGAACTCCTTGATCTGCGGCGCAACCGGAATCGCATTCAGGTTGTGGAACAGATGAATCGGGTAACCGAAAGTGAGGATTGTTAGCAAACAAACAATTGGCGTGTGATGGAGTCGCGTGAAAGTGAGTAGCAGGAACAATAGCTGATGAGCACGTTGTAATACAGTCCATGGTTTTGTGAGAGGGCGTGATACTGCCCGGGTGCCCAAGCCGAAGTAGGAAGTTGACTTAGGGGCTCCACCCCGAGCCTTTGGCTAAATAACCTACCCGCAAGGCAGCGGGACGAATTTAGGGAATCGCGCCCATTGGGAGGCGTTGACTGAATGGTGCGTCTTTATTTGGTAGATTACCAAACAGGGGCCCAATACTCCCCATGAAGTCAGCACAATTGCTGGAATACAATGCCCCACGGAAGTGGAACATTGTCGCCGAACACTTTGCTGGAACGGGGTACACCCGAACCACCCAGCTGGCACCACGAGGAGGTAGTTCGGAAAGCCAGCCATCCATGGTAGACGATATTGTGATTTTGCTTATACCATTTATTTCATTGCTGAGGTTTGCGTGATTACCTTCAGGCCACACTTGATTTAGCTGATCGTGCTTTCGTATGCATGATTGTTACTCCGCGGAAGTAATCCGAATTTGGTTACGAACTATTTGCCCCACCTACACCACTGCGCCTCGATTAGTGGGTCTAAAAAACCTGTCGGTTGGACACACACATTCTTTGACGTATCTCTAGTCTTCACGTGTGTTTTCATTATGGAAACTACGTATGGCAATGTGAGTCCTTGTGCAAGATTATCACACTGCTTTTATCAGATTGTGATCGTTACACGGTTAACAATCTTCTCACTGTTATCATATGCAAAAGCGTATGTTCCAAAACAGTTCTGTAGACATTTTCTCGGATTAGTCCGATAAGTGACCAGGTGTGAACTCATGCTGCTGACAGAAGTCACAATGTTTATATTCGTGACTGTAAAGATAAGTGGCAAGTGTTGCTAATGGAACTCATTTGGCATTGCCTTCGAACTGTAGCTTGTCGGATCGCGATTCTGTTAGTTTTGACGAAACCCCGAAATCTAGTCGCATTAATGCAGCTGTTCATTCTGGGACTCCTTTAACTCGGTTACTTCCGCATCCGTATTGTTGATGTTAGCGTTAGACCGGTCCAACTCGAATGAACGTGAGTGTCTGGAACGTAGGAGGTGTAACTGAGTACAACACGATGTAACGCACGTCAGGGCGTCCGGAGGCCTGCGTACACACGTGTGCGACATGTTTGTACATTTCAAGATACAATGATGGTCGCTCGTTCCTAGGTGTCGCGACGTTCCTTTTCATCCCTCGACCTTACATGTGTGGGCTTCTGCAGTACGCAATGATAGGTCCCTTGCGTTATGTTTCCACTAGCTGACTCTAAGCTTAAGCAGCGAGACAAGTCCATAGTGGAATAGAGAACAATAACATTCTATACGATATTATAACAGACCACAACACTAATACCACGTTTGCCCCTCTCCTTCACCGATGACGTGAACCATTTGCTCATTGTCAAAAGTATATTGGTTGAGTGCCTGTTGTAACGCTACTCTTTGCTTCTGCTCTCTGCCGCAAACTCAACCCGGGAAGAAAACAAAAGACCGAAACTTACCATGTCGATGTGTATTTGGAACAGGGCTAATTTTATAGGTCACATGCCATCATCTGAGCTGACTCACGACACTTGTCTAGGCCGATTCAAATCCGGTTCACACTGACCAGCTGTATTTGCACTCACTCACGCCTGTCGCGTCTCAACCTGTGTCATGATGACGGACTGGTTTCATCAGCTTTCCGCGCCACTTGCCGCAGACCCATTTCACGCCTCGTAACCTTGTCACTTACTTTCGTTTCTGTTGCCTAAAGTGCCAAATGTTCTTTCATACACTTCTTTCTCGATGCGCTTTCCGGAGGCGCGGCGCACATCACATCCTAGGGTGGTGGTCATTGTTTCCTTATTAATCGATCTGGTCCGTCGCAACGAGACTGGACCTCTGTTCTTCCTTTTGTAGTTCACTCTGGTTGCACGGCAGCGAAGCATCAGTTCAAATGGCCGATATATTGATGATATATGATATATGATGATGATATGATGATGATATATGATATATGATGTGAAATATGACTTTCAGTATGACGTTGTGTACATAATTACCGTTGATTATTAACTCAGTGGTAGCCTTCAGCCGCCTAACCTAGGTTGGGTATGCTCGTAAGCTATCAGAAAATAGGAACTAAAAACAAACATTTTCGCACAATTTCTATAGACTGACTTTTCTTTTCTGCTGCTTATTACGGAAGGATGATTTGGTTTTTTCCCAATCTTCGGTCCATTAGTTTGGCCGGTAAGCGACCGGGACGCAGTTATATCTCGTTGGTGCAACTGTTGAGTTTCTGTGAGTATCCGCTTAAAATTAGCCACGCGCAAATCTGGTGGGTTTAGGGTAATGCGCATGCTTTTTCAAGTATCTGTAGTAGTTCACCTCTAATCACGGTAAAACACCAAGGATTTTTTGACCGATATGTACGTTGAACACCAGTGGTGCCCTTCGCCAACTGTCAGCGACAGTCCATCGCACTTATGCCGTTCGGCAATGCCACCAAATTTATTACGCCTAGGCTGTTGTCTTCCATTGCTGAGATTTCGCAGCAAAGAGCCATCAACTCATTTTCAACCTCGTACAAGGTGCATACTTCCGCTGAGTGTTTATGATCATTAGCGGTTGACCCATCTACTATGCATGGATCAGATGGCAAATGGAGATTGCCGTTCGACAGAGCTCAATGGACCATCGCATCACGTAAAAATTCATCCTCACCACAGGGGCCCATTATTATTATCGCAATTCGTTCGTTGAAAGTTGAACTATTCTAGTTCCCTTTATCAATCAGACGGTTTGGTAGTTCTGTTTCCTTCATTCAGTCTTCTATTTTCTTTCGATTAGATTGAAGGTATGGCCACCGATAAGCGCCCCCAGTGCTCTATCTCATCTACCACGGAGCAAAGGCTGCTGAATCTGGAGAATCAATTGAGTTCGTTGATCGCCCTACAACTGACTCATTTAAATCATCCCGGGGATGGCTCGTGTCCCTCTTCACGCGATTACGACCAATCCCCGGATGTTCCGCCTTGTAAAAATTCTGCCACCGCTCCTAACGGGAGACAGAGATTGTCGAATTATGGAGAATGTCATGTGGACGAAAAGTTCCCAAGCGCAGAAGTGGGTTGCTTTTTCTGTTCATGAGCCAACTGTTTTAGATATCTTCGAATATGTTTGAAATCGTTCAGGAGTAATCATTTTAGGAAGGTTTGTGAACATTTGACCGGTGACCAAGGTGTAAGACATCAATCACTATTTGTCCGATTCCACTCTCAGCTCAGACTACCTCTGCTGATACATTCAAATTGGGTGGGAGCAGCACCGAAACATTTCACAAACATGTCTATGCATTTATTTTATGAAATAGCTTACAATTGAATAGGCTTTTTCTAACAGTCGTCGGCAACGTTTGCACAACGAAAGGTGTCATTCGGAAGACAATAACGGTTGCGTGTCGGGATGCTATCTTGAGTGAACCGGTGAGAAGAAATTAGCCCAATGGCGAGTAAAAAGTCGCATGGATAACTAGGTGGCGGAGTAGTCTACTCTTGATATAAAATGTACCCGGTTTGGGGCTAGTTCACTTGGCCTGAATACGTGCTTGTGTCAAAGGCCAAACGGCGTCCAGTAAACGCATAAACTGATTCAAATAAATGCAGATGTTTCTGGCCCGAAAACACTTCACTGCGAATCGCGGTCCAAATCGAGATTACGGGTCGCAATCCGTTCACACAATGGTCACGTCAAAAATGTCTTTGTCTTTTCACTTCGACGCATCAACTAAGGGTATTCGCATACAATGTGTTTGCGGCACACACTGTGTTGTTGCCCACGAAACATAACGAAAGGTTTTCACGTGCTCTAATAAAGTTTCACTTCTCTATCGAATAACTACTGTTGGTACCACGCATTCCTTAATCTTGTTGCTTTACCGACCGACACAGCTACTGCAATTGTGATGGTGTCATAGCGCGTACTAGAGACAAAGCATAACACTATTTGTTTATTTTTTCAAGTATAGTCATCTAATTATCTTGTGTTGGGACACAATAGTTGGGGGTTCCTCGTCTGTAACCAAAATATTAGATGGATGATGAGAATCCCAGGCTAACGGAAAACATCGTCTCCACAAACTCCCATGATCGAACAGCACTGAAAACGCCACTTGGTCCGTGGCGATATAGAGACCCCCTACCTTCTGCATTGTGTATGTGAAATGGAGGAAATACCTCAGAACTTTTCCAGCACTCGTGACGATCAGTTTCCAGGGTCCATTCAATAGTTTCATAATGATGCGAGGTATGTATAGAATTCAAATGCCTTCTGCGTCGACCTATCCCAAATCGCCCACTTAGCTACAGAGTCTGACCGGGAGAACTTCGGTCACTCGTTTAGTGAAGCTTCAGATGACAAACTTACGCTACACATGGCCTGTATGTCACATGATCGCGGTTCATCCTCCAACCTTGAGCATGAATTGAGAGACTCTTCACCGCCTACCTGTCACTCTCCCCAACTCCGATCTGCACATCTATATGAAGTCAGCTTGAGACGGAACGTATGTGTAGTAAACGGATCGACTTGGTACCCTAGGCTATAAAAATGTACATATTCCATTGATGTCGACCGCCGTGTCAGAAAAAGAAAAGTGAACGGTATTGATGTTCTCGATGGACTCTGGAAGCCATGTGTATTCCGATGTCCATTCATCGCTGAGTGCAGTTGTTTTACGAGATTCTCAAACCTTATGCTAAAATCAAAAGCGCAGAGGCGATTCAGCTGAATATCACCACACACACGCTTTCGGTTTGGTACCCTATTGATGCTGCTCACCTTTCTGGTTTCAAGATAGCGTAGGTATACGCTTTCCGTTAGCACTGTATTATCATCTCCAATGTCTAACTCAGAACGAGTATTATTTGGTTCAAATACCATGGGGCAAGCGATATCCGACATTGAGTTTTGGCAACTCAACTCCTACTAAACTTCAGAAAATAATTTATGGCACTCATGCTCTACACCAGTCAGATAACTCGTACCCCTTCGACTTTTCCCCCAATTATCTGAGGTTTGAAGCTACTGAATCATCGAACCTCAGTTCAGTTCAGTTCCGTTGAACAACTATGATTCGAGCACCGAAGTGCGGTGGATCAAGTTGCCATGGCTCACACCGTATGCATAACAACAAATAGCATCAGCAGGATAGTGGGTTTGGTGGCGAATAGAATTTAGACAACACAGAAGCAAGAAGCAACTGCGTTGGCCTAACCCGAATGGAAGGAATACTAACAAATAGAGGAAAGAAACCGAATGCAAGAACGCCACTGACTTCGTGACTGCGCCATGTGTGAAAGAGTTTCCTGCCATTGGTGCAGACCATGCTGAGGCTACACGCCCCAACCTGACCAAATATCTCAGTCAATTTCATGTCATGGATTCGCCACCTCGCGGTTTCACCCAACTTGGTGCATCCACGACATGTAATGCAGCCAAGGTAACCGATCAACGGGCATGCGGAGAACATGACCTAGACAGAGCAAGAGACTAATTTAGTAAAACTTGAGAGAGGCACCAGATGGCTTCTTGCCAACAACCAGCCGACGGAACTCAGCATTGCTCACCCGGTGTTCCCACCAGACTTGTGCGATACTTCGCAAGCACCGGTGATCAAACACGGCCAGGCTATTAATATATTCACTGCGAACTGGCCAGCTCTCTGACCCATACAGTAAGACTGACTATCCCGCAGCGTTATCCACCCTACCTTTCACTGACAGGCTGATATCCCGCCGTATTCATAGATGATCAAGCCTGTGGAAAGCCACACGGGCCTTGGTGATATGCGAAGTAACCTCCTCAGTCATGTGACCACTAGAGGTGACACAGCTACCAAGATAATTGAACCCTTCCGCCATTTCCAGTGGCCGTTCACCGATAGCTAAAATTGAGGGGTTTCGGCCCAGTCATGTTGCACTTTGAAGGTGCAGCGCACATGCTGAGGTATGCAGCGCTACGCGTCAGTCTATCCAGCAGTCTTTACATATCCACTGAATCAGACTCAAGAAGAGCTGTTTCCTCCGCGTACTCCAGGTTTGTCCGTTGTCCGGTAGAGTACGAAAGAACAGAGTCATTCATGATAATTCCCATCACAAAGTTGAAGTGGAAAGCTGATATAGGACCTTTCTGGCGAATCCCACATGTCTTGGGAAACTCAGAAGATCGTTTCCCGTATACCCTTACACGGCTTCAGGTGTCACGTATGAGTGACTGTATACTGGAGAAGAATTTAGCCAGCACGTCCTTCATGGATAGGCAGCACCACAAGCTGTCTCAATTAACAGAGTCGAAGGTGGCTTTCAAGTGAAGGAAATCCACCATAGTTCGTCTTCTGTATGTGTCTCTGCTCCAAAATTTCGGAAACAGTAAATATCTGGTCGATTCAACTTCGACCAGGGCGGTAGCCAGCCTGGTTTACGGTGCTTCGGTCCTTACGGGTACCAGTAAGTTGTCGAAGAATGATGTCCGTGAGAAGTTTTGAGGCAGTAGAAATAAGGCTAATGCCCCGATGATTTTCACACAAAGTACACTGACCCGACTTGAAGATGGGCACGACAGTTGATAGTCGCCAGTCTGAAGGCACTTCTTCAGTGTCCGAAATCGCGTTAGAAAGGGGAGCAAGTCAAGTCAACAAAGAGTCACCGCCATCCTTCAGCAAAGATGGGAGTGGACTTTGGGTCCAGGAGCCTTGTTTCCTTTTAACAGGGATAGCTCATATCGAATCTCCTCCATAGTTGGGGTGTGACATCAACTTCCTACGTAGGCTCAGTTGATTCGGCAAGCGGAAGTGTCGCAGCAAGCCTGCTGAATCGCTATTCAACAGGTTCCGCCCAGCAGGCCAGTGAACAGCGCTGAGCATGGATCAACTCCATATTTCCCAGCTGTTGTCCCCTTGACGCGTGACTTTTGCGGACCCGTGTTCCGGATGAGCTGGAATAGCACTCGGCTGTTTCCAACAGCACTGGCTTTCTCCATCTCACGTGCTCTAACCTGCCGAACAACCTAATCGTGGTCCCAGCTACGTGGTTCGGGTTTTGCCCCTTCCAGCGAATGGTTCGGCAGCAGTGTTCCAGGACTTGGTGGGTTTTCGCCTGCCAAGTTTTCTTCATTTAACAAGCTAAAATGTGTCTGTTTAACAACACTGCGACGTGGCGGATGTTACTCGCCACTAAATAAGATCACCGTCCCTTGCTTCCCTCCGGTGGATCATTGTATTCCAGCAGTTCACTGCTGAATTTGTGGGGAGCGTTGGTCCCCTGTTTCGTATCTCACCAAACGAAAGGAGTATGAACCGGGAAATCGGTCACCGACTCCCATTGGGCACGATTCGTTGAATTCGCTCCGCTACCTTGTGAATAGGCTATTTAACAAAAGCTTCGGAGTGAATTTCCCTAGGACAACACCCTACTTCGGCCTAGGCAACCGGGTAGCATCACGTCAACTCTAGAACCATGGAAACGTATTCACGCTCTCACAAGGTTCTACGTTCCTGCTACTACTCCAACTTTCCAATCAAACGACCCCCAATTATCTACCTTCCCCTTATGTTATTCACTCATTTAATCGCCTGATTCCTCTGTCTCTACCGGTGAATTCATCTCGTCCACATCCATCCATACACCCACATAGTGCTTAACAGGGGACCACCAGCCACCACGCCTTCCTTTATCTCTTCTCCAACCTCAAACTCGGTTCAGGCTAGTAGCACTCTATTGCAGATCGGACAACAAGTAGGACTGGCACGCACCTTGCACATCCTTATAATTGATGTCTGCAGTCTGACTGAGACACGACTTCAGGACTCCAACGCATTCTACCAGTTGTTGTGGCCAATCCACCCCCACACCCGTTTTCATCTCCTACTTTCTAGTGACGCTGAGTCTACCTTTTCCCTGCACTCAGTCTACATACAGCATCTGTTTCGTTATCCGGGTCGAATCCATACGGCGAATATGCCCGAGCCACCTCAGGTGCCTCAGCCGAATTATGCAGTCCACTGCATACATGCCACTGCGTCTGAGCTCCTGTGTGTCTTCAACTCGGTCACTCTGGTCGATGCGCATAATATGCCTCAGACACTGCTGATGGAAACGCGTCGGATATCGGACATCCTTCCGATAAACTTAGCAGGTTTCGCTGTCGTATAGAAGAACGGGCAGCACCATAGACTTATATCTCAACATCTTCGTCTCAACTGTGAGCTGGTTTTTTTTCCACACACAGTATTTCTGATTGCCAAATGTAGCAGCCGCCTTTGATAGGCGTCTGCGTAGCTCGCTCGTCATCTGCTAGTCGGTTGTTATTACGCTTCCAAGATAGCGAATTCTCCAAGTAGTTTCCACACGTCGTCGGCAATCTGTATATGGTTGGCGGCATCCGGTTTCGGATTTGCCTGTCCCTGTGGCCAGGCACTGGACGCCTGCGCCTACAGAGGGACCATGGATGGCTTGCGCTGCACCACCCACAGCTCCAACCACACACCCCATATCCAGTGTAAACCCGAAGGAATAAGACCGGGAGGCATGTGGATGGGAGCCACGTTTCATCAACGGAGCCGGCCCACACTCCTTCACAGGCAAACACAAGCACGCTGTATTTGGGAAATCAGTCGCACACAAGGCGGTGGCTGGACCGTAGTCCGCTCCACAATGACTTCATGGAATCACTCTTCGAGCCTAACACGACCCCAAGGACCGTGCACCTCGTGCCCTCCAGCAACGACCAACTGTCTCCTAGAGCCAGTATGGACGAGGTAGTGGGTAATAGACAGGTAGGCACCTTGTCAACATACACATCAAGAGCAGCCACTCCGGGGAAGTCAAGCGACAGCCAGTCACTTGAAATGACATTCAACCAAAATATATCTGTTAAAGAATACGGCTATGCAAACATAACTCTACTCTATATTAGCATACGAAGTAAGTTGGTTAGCAAGGAATCCGCGATAAGTGCAAAATGTCCACAAGTTACTCAAAAATGCTACAAACTCAATAAAGTTAACGAAGATAACCACAATTAGCGTAAGAAACGGGGCCAGTTAATAGAAGATTTGTCAGGTAGGCAGAACAAACCAACTAAAGTGGAATGAAATTTATCCAGCTTAAAAAGACCTAGTTTAAGTGTAAGTTGGTTTAGTCCAACTGCGGTAAAGAAACATCATGATTGCAACGTCAGCCTCAGCATGGGGCACACATACATACATGGTTGGCGGCATCCGGTTTCGGATTTGCATGTCACTGTGGCCAGACACAGGACGCCTTCGCTTACATAGGGACCATGGATGGCTTGCGCTGCACCACCCACAGCTCCAACCACACCTGTAGGACTGGTTACTACTAGTCCGAGACGGTGCGCGAAAGTAAGCGCGGATATCAGAAGGCAATTGGATCCGCGTTGTCAGGATAATTTACATCTACTTTTTTCTATTTTCAGTTCCTATGTGGTTACCATCCAACTCCACTTAAAGTTTTCAATTTGTATTTTTCTTGTCAACAGACGATATGACCAGTTGGTGCATCACTGCTTCACTTCCAGATTGTGGGCTACTGAAACACTCCACAGAGTGCTACTAGTTATTGGGCCGTCAACAATAGCATCATTTTTTCATTAGATTTATCAGAATAGACCAGTATTCGCTTTTAGTGTAACTATGTTAGAGCACGTTTTCGATCTTGGGAGATCTGCGATAAAAGCTAGTACGAAGTCATCTGATAACGTCTTTTGTGCACACAACTCATGTGACAATCTTGACGCTGTAAACTCTGTTTTCCGATTTCTTATGCATAACAATTTGCCTCCTTTGTCTAGAGCGGACTGGCAATTTTCTGGTACATGCATTCTCTAAGCGCTTCCCAACTTTGTTTGGTACTCTGTTTAGTGAAATTTCGAAGTCGTGATGTAATGTGGTTTTATTAACTCCACACATAGTACAACTTAACTGGTTATGGTACCATTGTATGCTTTCCGGTCATGCTAACATTATTTTGTCCAATTCTCACCATCCGCTTCTCCTGCTCTCTTCCGGAAGCTCGGTGACAAACACTCCAGAGAAGATGGTATTAATTCTACAGGTAACAGACTTCTCTTAGAGTCGCGTTTGGTCCCTGTTACATGTCATGTCCAACATCTCAATTTAATGTCAACCTGACCTCAGAGGCAGGATACATGAAAGTCATTTACCATTATCTAGATGTAGTATTGACCTGATAACATTATCCATTTTTCACGACTCTACAGCTCATCTTTACTGCTGCATAGAGGAACAATGCTACGCACTTTCGGTAACCTGTCGACGGACGTAGACACCGGATCCCGAATTGGTGATATTGGAATTCCATGGTCCAGTTGATGCTGCTGCGTCTTGCTGATCACTTGAAGCAGCAGGGCCTTTTGCGTAGTTGCATTGGAAATGACGAAACCGCTCAGTATCCGGAATCTCAGCGTATTTGTGCTTGTGATAGCAGGTACGCAATTCACTCATGTGACGTACACGAGTCGCGCGCGTCACAACTCCGCGTTTAGCCGTAGCCGGGTCGGATGGGATTTTGTAGTCACTGTGGGTTGAAGTGTTCTGATTTGTCAGATTAAGTGAAGTCAGCTGGGCTGTCGACGACTACGGGGCATTTGTGCGATCCCCAGGGTACACTTTTTCCCATCCCACCATGCTGTTCCAGCTAGGAGTGGTGGGTAATCGTTATCCAATAATAATGTGCTGCTGCTGCACGAAACTTTCGAATTATCACAGTGATGAATTGTACTTACGCATGAATGCAACTATACTTACCGTTCGTGTGATGACATCTGCTCTCTCTCTCTACGTACTCTTTCGCAGTGACCTCTCGGGCAATTAATTTCTCACGGGTCTCATCCAAATGCCACCTGACAGACTGCTGTTGACATCGCCTAACACCGTCTTGTGACATTTTGACACACCATCTAAATCTCTGTTGTTACATTTGCTGTTCTTGAGAAATTCTCTACATTGAGCGGATATGTTCTCTTCCCATCATCCGAAGCGGCTAAGTCGACTTAAGGAGAAAGCGTCTAAATGAAAATAGCAGCACTTCAGTAAACTGTCTCACTGTACATAGCAAAGTGGAGCTGCGCCGTGTACTTTGAAACGGTAGCTCCCGCCAACTCTGGAGGATACTGAAACATCTAAGCCGAATTACTCGACTTGCGTCCTATTTTGTTGTGGATGTGGGAAATTTGAACCCGTAGTTCTGTAACTGCGGGACTGATACAGACCCGTCCTTTGCTCGACTTCTGGGGTCTGTAGACGCATCGCCTCCTGTTAACAGTGTGACAGTGAATAATTTACTGAAGCTGGTGTTATAGACGATCTGTCTCCCATCACACTCAAAGATTGTGTCGATGTTTTGGCAGCGCCTCTTGCCTCTGTGCGTATGTAATAACACAAAACCGCTGACCGCTAGAGGAGTGTTAGTATTGCACCAATGGCAAACAAGAGGTGAAGCACAATCAACCAACTGCCTACGCTTCTATTACCTTGAAGGTTCTGGAGAAGACCATTATAGCATTGATGCTGTCGCATACGCGCTCGAACGACCTCTTTCAGCTCGCCTATTATAGTTCCAGGTCTACCCAGAGGCCTAGCGAAGTGGGGTGGGTAGGGCGTTCCGCATCTGGTGGTATGCGACAAGGGGCGACATTTTTAATACCGTGGATTTTTCGGTGTTTAACGTAAAGGGCAAAATTTCCAGCTAAGCTGAGGATTGAATATTTTAGTTACTCTGTACGATCAACAACACCTTGCGATGTGTCACACCTACACAAACATTCTTCCTGGCGATCCCATTGTGGTCACTTCCACTACGTTTACCTCAGTGTCCCAGACAATTATCCATTTCATCGATAATTAATGTGCACTTTACTGTAAGCCGATTTGTGGGTTTACGGATTTACGACTGTCAGAGGGAGGGCGAAGATTTTACTACCGCCCTGGGCTGCAAATTTCGTTGCCCAGCCACTGGGTCTACCCTAGATGCTGTTATCTCTCGTTCATTCTGTACTGTCATTACTTGACATCGGGATGCAAATCAACTCGTATACGTTTCCATGAATATGGCAACGCATTCAATTGTGTAAACCGCGATTTGCTGCATAAAGATCTACTCATTCAAGGAATGCGTTCCTCCAACCTCCATTTTCTGAGTGATTGGTTTGCTGGACGCACTCAGATTACCAAACTCAATGGCAGATACTCCTCCCCACTGATCATTAACTCCGGTGTCCTTCAGCAAGCCATTTCGCTCCTGTTCACTTTTCTGCTTATGTCGGTTCAATACCATACTAAAATATCCTAACCAGATCATCTTGGGTATCAATCATCGAAACGCGGATTGCTCTTTCAGCTTGCAGGACACATTGAACAATCTCATTGTTTTGTCCAAAGCTCGTTATCTGTCTTTCTACGCATCAACATTTCACGATCTTTCTTCTCGACAAAGATAAGCTAGACACAAGCAGCTTCTCACGCAGTGCCCCAAGCTCCATATTGACAGGGGTGGATTACACTCTACTACATCAGTGAAGTACCTATGTGTGGCACTGAACTACGATTTATCTTGGACATTTCATGTAAATGACAAGAACAAACTCAAGGTTGTCATTTTCCGCCACTCGGCTAAAATCTTCCTCTGTCCTCTGCATCATTTTGTCAATATATTTGTTCTCCCACGCTGGATGTATTGCTCCCCTGTGGTTTTTCCCGGTCTTCGGAGTAGGCACCTTAACTGTCAGGTCATTATGACGTTTATCCCGATGTAGCAGCGTTTCGATGCTTACTTTTATTAACATGATTCTCTTTACATAAATCAGTTCTTGTAAGAATCTTGCACTCAATATCCTGATCGATACACATCATTCCCTTCATAACGCTTTATCCCGGTGTTTATCAACAGTATCCGCAAAGCAGTAGCATGCTTTGATATATGCTCGCACACAAGCCCACCGCTTGTCGGTCATCCCTTATCTTCCGTGTGCTTCGTTTGACCATTGCTCTATCGTTCTAGACCTGATCAGTCGATTTATACTATGACATCCTTTCTGTGTATTTATAAAACCGCTTTCTATGGTACCGTTTTGTAATTGATTTGCTATTTTGGTAAGATTGTGTGTGTTGTAGCTGAATAATCTCCCACCCAGTGTGCATAAAGCAGTGTCTTTCACTAACTTGATATCGCCACATCCGTTGCACCCACTTTTTCTTAGGTAATGTAGTAGGTAGTATTGTGTGTGCTGCACTCTCTAGGTGCTATGGAACGATATCATTCACCGTAATGCACTATAACAGATGACTTCGTAGTCTTCAGTCATCTTCGTTTAGGCTTTACCAAACACCTCAGTTCAGTCATTCCTAGTTGTTAACGTTTTTGCTAGTACTGATTTGTTTACCGTTTAATCCTCAATTGCACTTTAGCTGTATCTCTACTTAGTTGTTGCAATTGAGGTGATGTGTCTCTGCATACTTGGTTCACATTGCCACAGCTGCGAAGTGTATCCATGCGTCTTTCGGTTCGCATAGGGATTATCGCGGTTTCCGAAATTTTCACATTAGATTTACTCCGTTTTTCACCCCCCTGCCTCCACAGTTTACAGTTCCTTACTGTTTATCTCAAACAATAGATCCATAACTTGTATTCTACTGACATTTTGTTTTTGGCAGTACTGGATCCTTTTCATTCCGACTAACTCGGTTATTCTTCCCGTAGAATCCGTAACTAGCCTACTTTCATGCTCTTACCTCTCATGCCGCATGTTCTTCACGTCCGTAACTGTTTGGACGAAGTTGAATCAGTCTATTTCTGCTGTTTCCTTATGAACTAGGTCTTTTACAGTGTTGATTACTTTGATGCCACCATTAGCCGTATTGCGATAAATATCATTAAGCTCACTAAAGGCTTTCGGCGAATCGCTGCATCGGCCACGCGTTTTCATTGAACCACTGGGAAGCACACAGCGAGAGAGGCACTAATCCCTTGCATTCCCCATATAACACATTTCGTTTGAGTCATTCATTCCTAATCTCCAAAGCATTTCATGTGTGCTCGCAATTGAGCTGTTTTTCCCCTCACCGTTCAGCTCATCCACCCAGCGGTTCAGATAGGGTTCCGGCGCCGAACAAACAGCCGCGCACCACCCAAATCCCCAAGCTTCCTAACGTAGTGACTCCCAGTTTCGCTACCGCTGGCTTAACCACTAAATCATCTTCAGAGGACCACCCACCTGGTGCACCGAAAAAACCCGTCATGAGTCGACCTAATTCAAGGATGGATCTTCATCCCTCGTGAGTTCGCTTCTTAGGTATACATTTTCCCAATTACTGTCATCCTCAGTGACGCACTAATTCCTACTGTTGATTTATCCGTTGTGGGTAAATGGGCCACTGCTGGTAGAATGCGTTAGCACGACGAAACGAGAGCACTGCGGGTTCCAAAGCTCAGGAATGTGCATCAACTTACAATCGTACAAAGTAGCGCTGACAGAATTGCCTTGTTGTGCTCGTTTCCATGAGATCTACGCATAATTCACAATTATACACAGATGTTCCTGCTTGTGGCGAAACTACGACAGTGAAGTCATCAGGAGTGCTCATTCACCAAGTGTTTTGACGTTTTTGATCTCCAGAGTTGATCCTGATGGATCTCCTTTTAGAAAGCCATCCACGATTCCACTATCTTATTAGTACACGCGGTTTTCAAGATCCGAACCAACACGTGTTGCACATCGTTTACTCATAGCTGAAATCCCTTTTTAACTTCAGAGGACAGCTACATTTCTACCTTCATCTTTGCACACCGACTATCTCTAGATTCCCCACTTTTGGCTGCCTCGGGCGCACATGGGGAGACCATAAACGACTCAGATTTCACCGTCTAGTGCTTCATGCACACTTCCTGTACCCAACGCATGCCGAGCTTATAAGCCAAAGAGGTATGCGGGTAGATACCACTGTTGAGTCGGGGCCGGTCAGTCTCCATAAACACGCGTTGCATTCGGGTGCGTAATTTTGTTTGGGAGTTCTACAACTGTATATACTCCCATGAAAGCGCAGTCGGCAGCACATTGTGTTAGTGCCCGCTGAGTGGAATGAACTTTGAGGAGGCAGGAGTACCGAAACGAATAAAGATGTTAGCTATATCATAATATATTTCATGATGCAGGCATTAGTTAATGCTGGCTTGCCGAACAACCTCCTCGTGGTGCCAGCTGGGTGGTTCGGGATTTTCCCGTTCCAGCAAATGGTTCGGCGGCAGTGTTCCAGGACGTAGTGGGTTTTCGCCTGGCAAGAGTTCTCCCTATAAAAAGCCACATATGTCCGTTTAAAAACACTGTGACGTGGCGGAAGTGACTCGCCACTAAATAAATTCACTGCCCCTTGCTTCATCCTGGCGAAGCATTGTATCCCAGCAAATTTGTGCTATACTTCTAGGGAGCATGGGGCCCCGGTTTGACAAAGGAACAAACGAAAGGCGTATGAACTGAGCAATCAGTCACCGGCTCCCAATGCGCGCGATTCCCTGGATTCGTTCCGCTGCCTTGCGGGCAGGCTATTCAGCCAAAGGCTCGGGGTGGTGTCCCCTAAGTCAACACCCTACTTCGGCTTGGGCAACCGGGTAGTATCTCGCCCTCTGACGAAACCATGGACTTCGATGTTTTGTGTTGTGTTTTCTTTTATTATTTCTGTACCCCATGGTTTCTGATGGCTTTACGTCTCTATTCGTAGACCCTTGCAAAGATATCGCTTTATTTCATCAGCAGCCATCAGTGTTTTTTTTTGAAGTAATAGTCGGACTGATGGATAGGCGTTCTGACAGCCTTCCAGATTACGCATCAAAACCCGCACTATCTCTGAGTTCCGATCAGCACATGATCAGTCGTTAAATTTTAATCCGGGACAATCGAGGGGGCACAGAGATTGCCCTTGCACTCACTCTCGTTATTAGCTGTGCAACTGCCCTCATCCCCTCCTTTTGACATGCGCTGTTGGGACGCCTATTTTCTTTCAAGTAGTTTGCTCAGGCTCTTTGTATTCTGAAGTGAGAAATCGTTCGCTGAACATTTGTACTCCATCCACTCTCTGCCACTTGTGCAATTTTCACCCAATGGGTGCTCATTCACTATTTGCGCTATTGCATGTGATTAATTATACTTTTCCAATATAGTCACGGTAAGCCAATCCTTCCGAGACGGCCTCTGTCCACTCCTGGACAGCCTCCCGATGCATCTCGAATCATTCCCGTTGCTTCCGTCGGTTCGGATTCGAACGCAGTGCGTAGGCCTTCCCACAACGTAAAGAAGAGCGCTACGTCCGAAGCTAAGATTTCGCAACCGGATCAAGTGTCCAACACTGGAGGCGTTGCGGACAGAACCCTTGGGGTAAATACTGTTTTTCGAAGTAGTCTTATTCCAGTGCTCATTGATACTACCTTCGGTGTCATTTTGTGCTGTACCCAACTAGCCTGCTAAGTTTGTCTTTAAGTTCCCATGTAAGCAAGACGATGCGCGCCGGTACCACCACATCTATCTCTCAACCACATCACCTGCCTGCCTTCCCTCTTTTCCACCAGACTGTCAGCTTCATACCACTATGAACCGAAGCACCATATTCCACTTATTATCTCTCATAATAGAGTTTATCCTTCCGGACAACCTAGCTTTCTGGGTTATCGGAAGCTCTTCGTTTATATAACCTAATTAGGACGCCTCCGACCGGTATTGAACTTCTTTGCTCCGCTATCTGCGTAGTTTTGCAACGTTGGCTCTTTGCACGCTGCAGAACTGTTCATCTCTCAGAAACACATTCTCAGAGTTTCATACTTATATCCACTTTTTGCAGGTTAGACCACATCATCAGCATGAATTACAGCCACTCATTCATTCACATTCATTCATTCACAGTATGCCGTCTAGTACTGATAACCCATTGGCCTTCCTCTTGAGAGCATCTTTTTTACTAATGGGTTAGTGTTTGGTAGGATACCTATACCACACTTTTTCAGTTTTTTCATCTCTCAAATTTATCTGCATCCTTTGGGGGAGTAGTCGAATCTCTATAGTCGTCATGAAGCTAGCGTTCTGTACATTCCAGGTGGCCCTTAGGCTAGATCAGTTAACCCGGGATAGTGGCGTACGACATGGTGTGTTGTCGCTGGGGCGACAAGTGTGGTTAGCTATTACTTACATTTATTGCTAGTGAGATGTCACGTCGACTTCGTTATTCATGCAAATGGTTCCGTGAAATTTTTATCGGAAACCCTGTTGAGAACTGGTCAGTTGCTCAATTTCGCTTCACCGGTTTGAAACCTAGCTGCTCTCTGTCAAACTTTTTAGGCACCGGTTTCCTCGTTACGTACCCCAGTGCTAGTCACAAGGCTCTTCTGTTCCCACAGTCTCCTTCAAATACACGCACCAACATCTACGTCGCGGTTGAACATACGAAACATTCTTCGAATGCACAACTCGTTATACAAGGAAATTTCTTTCCATTACTATCTAGTATTCTAAGGCTTATAATAACCCTATAAACTAATAGGGATGGTCACGTGAACTTTGTCGCGGTTTCCTTTATTTCTTCTACTACTGTTACGTTCTCTCCCTTAATTAGCAATTATTGAAGGAATTGGACTCCGAACGAGCTCAGCGCAAACACCTTGAACAATTGTGTCAGGATTTGACCGGAAGAATACTTCGCTTAGAGGCTTCCGGTAGGTACAAGGGTAGTGTGTTAACTATGATACTGCTTCGCTTCTCGAGATTCCAGCGGCGAATCGGATCATCTTAACTTTTCGTTCATTCATCCTTTCCGCTTCTTTTTCGACTATTACTCTTAATCAAGCTGTGCGTCGCATCATGATATTGTTACTCATCGTAAGACCACTGTGGTCTTTTTGTAATTACAACTAGAAGCTCATTGCAATCTTGTCTACCTCAGATACCAGGAAGTTGTTGCGATTGTGGAGACGGTTCCGGCACCGATTTCATTGGTTGCCCCCGCTTATGGTACTTCAGTATTATCTTGCTCTAGAAATTAAGCAACATGCATCTTTTAGCAACAAATTCGTTCATTTTTCGGTCAAAGTGCATGGCACCCATCTACTTCATGCCTTTTTCTTACTGCACATCCTGTTGACATGGAATATTCCCTCTTTATTATAATGGAAAACAGCTTTCAAACTAAACGAATATTGTTTTGAATTCAATTGGACAGTCAGTACACATCCACTGTGTTTGGATGGATTCAGGTGATTGCGCATCACTGATAAATCTCGATGGGACAACTTGGCCATCCATTGCCTTCTCTGATGTCTGCTCGTTTAATTAAACAATGCATATGTACCCACATTAATTTGGTGTGACTTTGTTATTGAGTCACCCATTTTTGCATTTCTCACAGCTACGGACGAAGTGAAGGCGTTGGAAGCCACAGAGCAACTCAAACAAGCTTTTACAAACGAACGCCGTGCACGATTACTTGCTGAATCGAGGCTACGTGATCTTGATGTAGGTTCCAATCGCATCTTACACTCCGTCTCAACATTGAATGCACTAGCGTAGCATGTATTATCTTATATTTGAACAACATTTTCCTTCCGGTTGCCTAACAGTTATTCACGCATATTACATACCGAACTATCCATCTAATTCTTGATCATCGACTTTGAGGCTTGCTTTTCTTATCTGTAATCTATTGTTCTCGTTTCATGAAACAGTAATGGTTATCGATGTATACATGTCCATACTTCCTATTTCCTGTTCCGTTTTTTGCCGCCTAACCATACACATTTGTTCTTCTCTTAACTGCTCAGATCGACGAAGGCGACTCAACCGTAACTCTTGTTTTCCTGAAAAGAAGTTTCTTAATTGTTCACCATATTTCTTTTAGACTCGCTTAAGTGAGGTTCTTGCCTCTTTGGAGGCCATGTGTAACCGGGAGGAGGCCAACAAGGTTCGCACAAATGAGGAGGTTAGTCGATCCCATTTTCCTGGTCATTCTGTAGAGTACATGCCCAGTTAGATTCACTGGATAGTCCAGAGTATCCCTTATTCTCTTAACTGTAACAATGATTTATGACGGGTAAAAAGTGCAGCTGCTTGACATATCCCGCAGGTTGGTGAGGGTAAAACTACAATTATCACAAACAGGTGAGTTGTCTGTTTGAGCGTTTATCTAGCAGAGGCGCTGCTGAATAATAGTAACGTTAGTGGGAATCGAATGCGAACGACGAGACAGAATGGGAACAGTTATAGTTGTTGTACTCCGTGAGAAAAGTAAGCAGTTAAAACGAGAATACTCACTTGTGTCCCGCATCCTAAGGTTTCTGTAGCATACTAATCCAGTTTGGATGGATAATTAATACATCCCAAAGTTGCACAGTTTAAGCAACGAAGTGGTGGGGACTTTCGGGTAAGGTCCAATCTTGTTTTTGATAATATCCAAGGTGTGGGCGGAAACAGCGAAATTTGGGAAAGAGTTCAAGGGTTGGCAAACCCGAAGAGCAAAAAAATTCCGCCGGTATTCCAGGTGTGCACACAATTTCAGAGGGTTACCTCTGAGATTGTTGTTTTGGCTGAGTTTCAGCGGGTAACGGCATACGTGATTAGGTTCACTCAATATTTAATAGACTAAATTGAGATCGCCGCGGCCACTGAAAACTTCCAGTGACTTTGGTCTTTTATGGTAGGACAGATTTCGTAGGCCCTTGACCTTCTTTGTAGCCCTGCTTTGAGGTTTCTCTGGTACTTCTAAATCGCGCTTCAACGAAAGTTGCCAAGCTTGGATAGCGTATTCAACGTGAGAGCGCACATAAGAATTGTGCGGCATGGGAAAGATGGATGGGTCGGATCTTCCGAATGTTCTCCGCAGCAAGCCGACGATCTGGCTGGCTCTCTTCGCAGCTACCTCTGACTACTTTGTACAGTTAAGGTCACTTTGAATGAGCACACCAAGGTCGCGTCCTTGGGAAGTGATTTGCAATACATGTGACCCAAGCCTATACACGTAGTCATCTCTATGGCGCAGTTGAACAGCGTGACATTTCCCCACATTGAACGCCAAGGTATTCAGAACTGACCAGATTGAAATCGTGTTGAGGTCACGCTGGAGCTTTTCGCGGTCGTTCGGTTCTTTGATCATTCGCCATAACTTGAGATCATCCGCGAAGAATAGGAAATCGGAAGTAATTTCCCTCGCCAGATCGTTTATGAAAATCAAGAATAGACGGGGCCCGAACACCGAGCCTTGTGGTGCGCCGCACTCCACCTCAATTGCGTTGGACAGGGATTCTCGTACTCTCACTTCCAACCGACATTCGTGCAGGAAATTGCCTATCCAACGCAGCTGTGGGTCACCAACACCATAGAGCTGAAGTTTATGGTGGAGAATTTGATGGTCTAAGCGATCAAACGCTTTTGAGAAGTCCAACTAAATGACATCAACTCCTGTTCCACCATCAACTGTTTCAATCCAGCTATTGCGTGCAATTAACAGATTCGTAGTGCATGAGCGCTTTTGTCGAAAGCCATGTTGCTCTGGTGCTATCGTCTTGTGATTTTCCAGATACTGCATGAGTGCATCAGCGATGATAGACTCCATAATCTTGGAAAGCACAGGGAGTAGCGTTATAGGACGGTAATTGGTTGTGTCAGTGCGACTACCTCCCTTATGAATAGGAGTGATGACCCCTCGCTTACTTACTGTTGGAATATGGTTCTCCTCTATACGACGCTAATAGAATATCGCCAGCGGTTCCGCAAGATCACTGACTGCTGTCTGTAAAGCCTTCGATCGAATGTTGTTGACATCAGGAGATCTGTGGATACACAGAAACAACAATTTCTTTCTCACACTTTCTGCAGTAAAACTAATCTTGGATAGGCTGATAGACGGACGATAGAAACAGGGATGACCGTTGGGCCCGTTACTCTCTGGGACGTTTGTGAGTAATAGAACCGTAAGAGATCGGCTGCTTCCGTTGCTGATTGCGTGCATCCGTCAGTCGTGATCAGTGCTGGAATTCCGCGTTGCACCTTACCAAGGCCATTGACCTGCCTGTATAAGAGTTTTCGGTTCTTGCAGAATCTCTTCATTAACTCCTGCTGATGCGTCAGCTTGTTCTCGCGGATCAAGCACCGAAGTTACACTGTGCCGCATAGCCAGTCCAGGTTTCGGAATTCAGGTAGTCGTTATGAGCTCTCCGTGCTAAGTCACTCAAGGACGTGCATTCGCGTGTTTTGCTTTTCAGAAATGACTTCCTTTGACGACGGAAGGATTTCTGCTCATACGCCTGCGTTACCAGTGTGGCAAATATCCTTGTGAAAGTATCTCAGGCGAGTTCTGGGGGCATTCAGTTAAAAAAGTTCAAGCTACCTCCTTAACAATCGCGAATAACACGTTGTAGTGCGTGACCGTATACCCTTTATCATCCTCTTCCCTCGGATATTCCGCAAAACATACAAAGTTAAACAGTAGAGTCACTGCGACCCATTGGTGCGCTTGTAATTATTTTGCGACCATGTTCTTCGTTGGTGAGCACAAGATCAAGTATCGATGGCTTGTTAGCAGTTCGAATTCTGGTGGGAGAGGGCACGTGGTTGTACAGAGGGTAGCTGGAAATAACCTCTTATAAACTGGCTTTGGATTGCATGATATCGGTCGCCGCTATTTCCAGACGGTGCACAGTAAAGTCGCCTGCGATGAGAATGTGACTGTATGTCTTGCTCAAAACAACTTGAAGAACTTGGTTTAGTTTGGAGTCCATTTCACACGTAGAGTTTGGTGGACGATAAATCACAGCTATAAGACGTGTGTTTTTGTTTTGCAACCATAACCGGCACCAAAGCGAATCTGGCGCACGGATCTCTTTGTGGTCAATAACTTCACATTGGAGATTAGCCTTGTAATACAGCATTACGCCACCGCCTCTTCCAGCTCTGTCATTCCGAAGCAATGACATACCAGGTACATTGACTTCAGAATCTGCTATCTCAAGGCTTAGCCAGATCTCCGTAATCATACTGAGATCCCGCGGTTGTGACGCCTGGCGTGCTCTAAGTGCAGCCAATTTACTAAGAAGACCTCGGACGTTAGTATACAAACATTATAGTGTTTTTAATGTTAGAAGTGCGTAGGTGGACAACAAATTCGTGCTTAGTTTTAAGTCGACCGTTCATCGGTCGGCCGCTAATCGTCTTTTGCGTGGGTCATTGGTTCTTGGATCTCAGTCAGGCTGCATGGTAGCATGGAGCATCTCCGATCGAGATGTTCTTCCTGTCCCGTCAGGTGTCGCTAATTTCAAGTTGTCTACCAATCTGCAGAATTGTGGAGGCAAATATTTTACTGAGGTTGCATGTTCCAATGCAGTGCTGAAAACCAGTGGCCGTGTGCCTGTTATTTTTAGCCTAATCTCGGTAGGCAACCTGGAGCGATGCTTCAACCAGCTATCCAATAGGACTTTTGTTATTCCATCGGAGTGTGGCACGGATTTCAATGTTTTTAGACCGCAGCCCTTGTAGTTTGGAGATGAAGGAATTCTTGTTAGTGATTTAGCGATAACGTGGTCCAGAGAGAGTGCTTCGCGGATGTAGCACCACTGCTCTCGGTCATGTTTCTGCGCCTCGTGTTCAGGAGAGCCCAGTAATTCACGAACACCATGAACAAACCCTTTTTTTGATTTCGTTCCTAGAAGGGCCGCCATGGTTTTCTTTTTCCTTTGACCGTCCTTTCGAAGGAATATCGGGTAACATACGTACCCCGCTCAATGAGTTGCGAAGTGAGCTGCTGAGAGTAGGACTATCTCTGTCACCTCAGTTGAATTCAAGGTTACTTGAAGTAATCGGGATTCGCCGTAGTACACTGAATTTGGGTGACGCGCTACACGTTGTAGCCCAGTTGGTTCAACCGAAGACCAATTACAGCGCAGATGGAATGCCACTAGTTGCGATCATCTACCGACTTGCCCCTTATTGTGCCAGATCTGGACTCAGGAACGTTAGTGCACACAACCGTTAACGCACTGTGGTTCTGTTTGGCGAATGTTGCTTTGGGTGTTGTGGCTAGTAACTTGATTGTTTGGCGGACACTAAAGAAGGTTGTGAAAACGGCGTCGCGTCGCTCATGCTTGGTCCAGAAAATGGACCTACGGTTGTTTCCTTAGGCGTTTTTCTCTAAGCGATCGATGCGTATGTTACGCGGCTCCGGACTGTCGGTGTTGTGACCAACTCGTGAGATATGGCATCTAGGGATGAATTAATAGCAGTCACGTTGGATTTGTCTTGTCTACTTAAAGCGTTAGTAATTGTCGGAGTAGGTGGCGCAGATGCCGTCGGTCGGTTAGCAAGCCTGACTTTAGCCTTCCACTTAGAGACAGAGCTCTGAGGGGTTTGCTGTTGAGCAAAATTGGTGTTGTTGGATTCTAATGGCAAAGACCTGAAGCTCGCCATCTGCTGGACTGTTTCAGTCCGTTTTTCACGAGCGATATAGTACATTTGACTATTGGGATTGCTCTGCATGGTTGACAAAACCAGAGCGAATCAGACAGGTTGATTTGTCTCTTGTATTGTAGTTGACTTAGACCAGCACAGAGGGGGTGGAACAGAAGACCGCAAAATTCACAAATAATGTCTCGCTTAACTGATCGTATACACTTGTGCTTGCCACCTTTACGGTTAGCTGGAATCGATTCTATTGAGGGCCTTTGTTGCAAACGAACGCTTCCCTTGTCTGGTCTTGTGAAGTAGAGGGCGATTGACGCTCGCGTGCTTTGTCCGAGTAGCACTGTAGACGTCGGTTGTCGTAGGCGAGTGTGCACGACGAGGACACACGTACACGGAGTTTGGCTAGCTTATTGATCCAAACTGATTCCTGTAGGACAAAGCCGTTGGAAGTAGCTGAGAGCGGAAATTGCCGTTGATAAGCGAATGCAATTGGAACCACAGATTTAGTCGTAGTTTCGTTAGAAATGATCCTATGGATGTAATCCTCGGGCCACCCTATAGCGCGGAGAATCCTTAATCGATCACAGTATCGCAGCAGCGAAAACTGTCAAAAACAACCGAGTGACGCGTCTGGGTAGAAACACGAAGCACGCTAAAACAACTTGGGTAGCACAAATCACTTTCCGTAGCAAATAATTCCGTAAAAATATGCCCACTGAACACGGGGAGTTATTCCGATTCGAATGAGTGTATGGTGACTGCGCTAGGTGAAGAGGAAGGCGTAAAACTCTGTGACAGAGGGGAGCACGGTTACTATGCGACCAGTCAGGTGAGTGCCAGCATATGGTTTTGACCTTGGGCACACTGCACACTACGGGATGGACTACAGGCCATCGCGTTCTTTTTCGTTGCTGACCTGGGGTTCATGGCTTGCCTGTCACTGTGACAGTCCCACGCACACCCCACATTTCTTGTAATTCCAAAGAAACGAGATCAATGTCAGGCTGGTCGGATCCACTAATTTTCTGGATCTCGTCTGTTCTTTTTCGACGCACCCATGGCCATCTATTGGGTGTGTCTGTGTGAGGACATCTTAGGTTACCAAGGAGTAGTTGGGTCTTCATCCGACCCATAGACTTAAATGTAGACCGTAACTCCTGCACGGTCTGGGCATGCTGGTCTCTTATTGATGGAAACTGAGGACGTACGTATACCGCGGATTCGCATTAGGCTGACTGTCTCGTGCTGTGGCCGCCTCCCCCCTCCACATACTCCATTCTTCAGCGGGAATTAACAGCATTCTGATGTCACCAGTCGTAGTATCAATCTTGGTGCAATTAAACCGGACATCACACACACACGTTTGAATATGCAGTGTTAGTGTAGTTACGGTTTCACTATATTTGGCTATCACTATGTCTTGTTTTCTTTTTTAGCGTCTCACTCGGCCCGGAACATCCTAGTAGCAATCTCACAGTCCTTCTTCGAATGCCTCGATAGAAGTAATAATTATGTGTATTTTTTCCGAGTCTTTGGGAGGCTGTTCTCACAGAGGGGTAGCTCAGATTGTACGGACTTATGCTCGCTCTACTTGAAGGGAGAATTTACATGCAATAATACACTGGGACTTGTTATAACTCATTATTTTTCAGAAGCATCTGGTAATATATATGACATAATGAATGAGAGTAGGTTTTTGTGCAACAGCTTTTCTCCTCGAGGTTTACTTTTTGTGCCTAGACGAATCTGCTTCGGTTTTCATCCAAAAGCGCCTTAGCCCCAGCGACCTTAGCGACTTTAAGATTTTCTGTATCCATTCGAGCTGTTGTTGTTGTTGTTTATCGGTGATACGCTCCTTCGTTTTATCACCGTACTTCCATCATTACCATACAAGTTGTTGTATCCGAAATTCCACGTTTTCATATCTGCATTTGTTTTCACTCTATCGCTCATAAGTCATGTTCTACCATAGCGTTTTTGTTTTTCCGTCTTTTAGACCTCTAAGATGTCTGCACGCTTGATGGATTTAGCCAAGGACTATAAAAATGCGATAGATCGTGCAGAAAAGGCAGAAAAGATGGTCGATGAACTTCATGCTCAATTGGGAAACCTTGAATCCGTAAATCGGTGAGAGGGCTGCGACTGTGTACACAACGTTGACCAGTTGGTCCAACTATTGTCTGTTGGAATGATTAGTTTGTCGATTTGCCTATCGGTTAGTTAGGTTGTTGTTTGATTATTTATGGATAAATAAGCTGCATAAAGTCGCGCGGGTTATTGACGTTCAATTTTTATATATTTTTTGCCATTAAGCAACAAGCCGTCAGGTTCTTCTGAGTTACTAGTACATCTTCAAATTCTTTTTGAATCAGTTTGAATGCCCACTGTGTCACTGAATCGTGACACGAGGTCTCACTTTGAATCGCGTATCTTTGAGTCGCTGTATCTGAAGCACTGCTAGATCTTATCCGCTCCAAACTTCGCACTTCACCAACTGAACTGGAACTCGCTAGACGGCTTTATCGCGGTACCACCGAACTGTTTTTGGAGTGCACCGAAACATTTAACTATGCACAAATCCGGTAATAGAACGTAGTGTCGGGAGCGATCGACACACTCAATGTCATTTATTGTTCACCCTTTGCATTTTCGGCCGTGGTAGCCCATCATTTCGTATGCCGTCTCAGATTACATTCTTCTGCTATCAAGTGTGTTAATGTGCTTGTGGCCTAGGGTTGATAACACTGTAAGCTACAACAGTGAGAGGTAAGCTGCGTATTCTGGTTGGGAATTTATGTGTTCCGGACTAATCTCCAGAGTGACCACCACCGTTTACTCCTTCCAAATGCCATCAATTGGGTACATGGTTTCTAGATATCGATGTGTCTAGCCGAATCACTGGAAATTTGAAATTTACTGCTGCCAGACTGTTTGATGGCCATAAATCGGTCAGGCGGAACGCTTTAATTCTCAAGGTTGGAGTTCAAAACTGTGGTGATATCCATTTTTGGAACTTTTCATCCGATGGAGCATTGCCAAATTCTCGTTACCTAACGGCTATGCTTTCAAGCGTCTGAAGAAACTTTCTCTCGTTTGCGTTCGGATGCTTCAGAGAATAGCTTATACGATAATAGCCTAGAGAATCTGATCTCTTTGGACCTCTGCGCTACCATGCTGAACCCTTGTTCCTATACTTTGCTTGGCCTGTTTGCGGTTAATGGATTTTATCCTCAACGCTTACAATCGGAATCCTTTTATGCCCTAGCTCTTCGTACTGTGAAATATCCTGTGCGGTTTGCTGGAACGGATAGAGGCACAGAAGTGGCTATCTGGTCAGGAGAGTGGACTTTTGCTGGATCACAGCTATGACAAATATTAGGCATGTTATTAGGCATAGGATGCGAGGCTTAGCAAGAGGGGAAACACGATGATTTCTGTTGTGGTTTCCGCTAACCGTACGGATGAGCTGCTGCTATTGCGCAGTTTGAACCGGCCAACTTCCCAGATCATGAGACAATGACCCTTGACAAAACTTCCATTGAGTTACCGACAAAAGCATTATGTATATCCAAAGGTGGGGTTGAATTATATCATTTATAAGTTGATGACCTAGATTCGAGCAAGTACTAGGCACCTGAAATGTAATTGTTGGCTGCCCAAGGAGTACGCTCACTGGAAGACTTCAAGGTAGATGCTTCTCACTTGTAGACTTCAAGATAAACTGCTCTCATTGGCTAGCCAGTTAGCTTCAGACTGCATCGGGCCAAACTTCTCCGGGCTGCTATCAAAAGCACCTGCCCCGGAGGTTCCTATGGGCGAGCTTCATTGACACTACCGAACGGGATTTGACATACGACTTCATTCTTGGTTCCAGCTGCATTCTGATAACGGATCTTTGTACCCGATCAGTCCAACGTCGTAACTGCACGTGTGATGTGTTTCCGAAGCGTTCTGCTTATTCGACGGCAAATCGAAACTGTTCAGTAGCAAATCTATTAGTAGCCGTCGATTACTTGTGTTTGCCGGAATGCTAGTTTGATTGATTGACATGCCGATTGGCATGCCTGGTCCACATCAGTGTCCACTCTGACCTCGTGGAGTACTTGATCAATTCTTCTCTGGATTGAACATCTCACTCACTAAGGTCTTCCCATGCGAGTGTATCTGACCAAAACACGTTGTCCTGAGTAAAATCGAGTACTTGGCTTTGTGTCGCTGATTATAGTACTTTCCAGTTTGCGAGTTCCTTTCTTGCGGAAGTGTGTGCCTCAAATGTAGCGAGGAACTCATGGGACGGAGCTTTCTCTCCATTAGTGCTTCTACTGGCAACAAATAATTTGGTACCTGGAAGTTGAAGGTTGACCTGTACTGTAGCAAGAAAGCGTCTAGTGTCACTTGTATAGCTCCTTCCATCCTCATCTTCGGTAACCATCGCTTAAGTGTATCATCGAAGCTCTATGCTTGTCCATTTGGCCGGCTTGAAATGGCAGTGAGCGTGGATGCTTGATGCCGTTCTGCGTACAGCATTCGGCAAACTGGGCAAAGTGCACTGTGGGCCATTGCCAGTGACTAGGGTTTCCGGTACTCCGTGCAGGCTAAAAAAGGCTTCTCCGAATTTCGCTTGTTGCATCATTTGCCGTATGGTCCATGCAGAGCATCTCAGGCCACTTACTGAAAGAGGCAACAACGAGCAGGTATTATAGACCATTCACGGGACCGAAAAATCGGCGTGTACTCGTTATCTCGGCTTTGTTGTCAACGACCAGGAAGCTAACTCGACCTTTTTGAGTTCCTTACTGACCGCAGCTGGAATGCAGTTAAGGACTAGTTCCATCATATTTTTCATGCTCTACTCCTAATGGCACTTAAAACGCACATCATCACTATGGCAGATCAACTTACGCGTTGGTCGGCTGCTTCTATCTGAACGCCACCTCGCGGGGACCACATGGATATGATGATGTTCACTCTGTGTGGCGATCACCAACTTTTTCTTTCCAATACGAGCTTTCGTCACGCCAGGTGCCATAGCGCCAACTGGCGTCCTCCATCATCAAGTCAGCGTTGGTCGTAACTGGACCACATAGCCATAAGTCGAGTGTAATGTGGAAACATACGGGATTACCGATCATACTGGTTAACTTTGTGGAAACCGATCATGCATTGGTGTGCGCGACAGTTTGCATGCACTTCGGTGGCTCCCCAAGGGCCAAACAAACCCGACTGAACATTTGCAAATTGGAAGATCCTGCAGTACAAACAGAGTATCAACAGAGGCTTCGTGAAAACCTTGCTCTCTCCTCTTGCATACTGACCGGCACTGGTTAGGCTTGCAAAACACCATGCTGTCCGCAGCTTTGTCTAGCTGCGGCCTCGTCCGCTGCACAGCTTAAAGCTGGATCACGACAACTTCCTCGGAACTTCTAGATCGTCGACGCACCGTGCCCGCCGGCGCAGAACACAACGAAATCCGTCGGTCTATTTCTCTAAAGCTGAAAGCGAGCCTTAACTCTGACCGTGAATCTCGGTGGTCTAGGCTTGCTGCTGAGATGGAAACCACTGCATCGGTTGGAAACTACCACAGTTTGTTTCGTCTTGTCAATGCCACCGGTTGCAACTCGCACACAGACAATCTGCGAGTTAAACGTTACCAAAACCACAAACCTACAAAATATATTGGAATGATGGACAAATTTTCCTACCCTCACAACCCTTTGTGACACCCGTCCGCATCCCATGTTGCTTGCTTGTCCCTACTGACCCTTCTGCTGAACTAGCGATCCGAAAGGGAATTCGAGCTTTGAAACAGCCTAAAGCTCCCGGCCCTGACAACCTTCCTCCGACTTTTTTCAAAGGTGGCGCGGATGTATTTGTCAACAATTTGCTCCGGTTTTTCACGAATGTTTGGACTGATGAAAAGCTCCCCTATTCTTCATGGGGAGACTCAGTTTTTGTCTCGCTTCACAAGATAGCCTCCGCGAAGATTGCGCTGCTTACCGCGGAATCTCGTTGAGCTCAGTTGCTTATAAGATTCTTGTGTCCATCTTACTTCGCAGGCTTTGCTCCACCAAAAAGTTTTCCCCGAGAAGAGCAAGCCGGCTTTCGCCCAGGCCGAAGTTACATTGACAAATTCTTCACTCTTCGACAACTTCTCTAGATTTGCCACGTCCACCATCGATCCACAATCGTATTGTTCCTGGGCATCCGAGCGGCATTCGTTTCGGTAAACAGAGCTGCTTTGTGGAATTGTCTACTCGGGAAGAGTGTGCCCGACAAGATTGATGCTATTCTGAGGCAAAGTTAGGACTTACGGCAGGCTTTCCTCTTCGTTTCCACTCACCAGCGGCGTTTGTCAATGTTGCCCTATTTCACCTTTCCTCTACAATTTGACCATTGAAGATGTCGTACAACGAGCGCTAGAAGGCGTCCCGAATTGCGGTGTTGGGTTTCTCCCTGGCGCCAGAATCGCGGATTTGGACTACGCCGCTGACGTCGCTTTGCATGTGACGATCTGCAAACCGTCCAAACACCTTGAACCGCTTAGCAATTGAGGCATCCAATTATGACTTGTAGTTTACTCCGGCCAAATGTAAAGTGTGGTTTTAGGATTGGCAGGGGCGTGCGTCCTCACTCACCATTGTTGGTGACATTCTGGAACAAGTGGATTGCTTCACTTACCTATGAAGTCGCATTATGGCTGGTGGCGGTGTTGGAGATAAAGTTTCCCGGCGCATTGCAGAAGCCTGCCTTGCTTTTATCAAACTGTGACAACTGTGGGGTCGTCATGACGTCAGTCTCAAGCTCAGGGGCAGGGTGTACAATGTTTCCGTTTGTACCGTCCTGCTGTACGGTTGTGAGACCTGGCCTGTTCACTCGGATGACATGAGACGACTGTCAGTTTTTGACAATCGTTGTCTGCCTAGAATCGCTCGTGTGTGGTGGCAATATCACATAAGTAATACGGAGATTCGTGAACGAGTGCTTGGAGCAAACAGCCCCAGCCTTCAAAACCTTGTATTCCGATACCGTGTGCGTTGGCTCGGCCGCGTACTGCGGATGCTAGCCTATCGCCTTCCCCTGCGAGCGTTATTTACGCTTCCCGGAAACGATTGGAGAAAGTGTCGCAGTGGACAGCCAGTGACGTGGAAAAACAGCATAAAGATAGTAGTTGCAAGCTTAGCTTTAGTCGGATCAGCGCGACCCCAAGATTGGGCCTCGCGTGACTCGGAATTTCTGTGGTTTCAAACGCTGAATGTGATGGCACATAACAGACATCAATAGCACCAATGTTGTTGTGCCGTCTTATCTATTGATTAATCTTAAGTATATATATGGTGTATATGTGTTGCACAAATCCATGGTGCTGTCCATTCTGCTATACGGCAGTGCAACGGGGACGATGTAACGGCGGGATGTGCGATATCTCGAGCGGTTCCATCAACAGTGTTTGCGGCAGATTCCGCGCATCGGAAGGGGCGACAGAGTTGCGGACACGGAAGTGTTGCGTCGAAGTGGAATATATGCAGTGGACTGCATACTTTTGCTGAGACACCTGAGGTGGCTTGCTCATGTGAGCCGTATGGATTCGACGTGGATACCGAAACACGTATTATATGGTCAGCTGAGTATTGGGAAGCGGCATGTGGGGAAACCAAAATTACTTTACCAGGATATGATCAAAGGGAGCATCTCACGTTCTACTCTTGATTGCAGGTCATGGAGATCGAAGGCGGTTGATTGGCGTACATGGTCTGATCTGATCACGAAGACCGTTGCCGAGGTGCAAGGAAACTCCCTCGTGCATGCAGAGAAGAAGCGGCAAGCACCGATGGGTTGTACTTCATCGACATCGAGCGCGCGGTGCTGCAGCGCATGCGGTCGCGAGTGCCTGAGTCAGGCAGGCCTAGTGACCCATGAGCGAAGCCACTCGGGGCCACCACCGAAGCGACGCCGGGTCCTGCAGAGAAAGTAGACGGAACCGGCGCAGCGTTTGTAGGTACGCTCCATTCGCTTTACTAACCGCGTGCTTGCGTGCTGAGTCACTTTATTTCTGGTGGTAGATTTTCTATATTGTCCTAATGCTTTTCTTCCTGAACTATCTATAAACTTACATACGTTGCTAATGCTAAGTGTAGTTAACTTCGATTACATTTTCTCGTTTGTGGCATTTGCTTGAATATATTTTCTGACTTATGAAATCTTTCGCTTAGTTTTTGCAACCGATTTGTTTCATCTGCTCATTTAGTGAAGAGCTATGTCACTGTATCTGTATGCATTATTCGATTTGTTTTAATTGATGTTGTCGTCTTGTGTGATTGTCTGTTGCTTGATATCCCCGGTGTGGCTGCGTTTGATGTGCATGTTGCCAAGGTGCCTAGCTTTATATTACCCCCTACCTCTCATACTGGCTCCATGCGACAATTGGTTGTTGCTGGAGAGGACGGGGTGCACCGGTCATATTTGTCGTGCTAGGCGCCAAAAGTGGTTCCATGCACTTAATGTGGAGCGGACCACGGTTCAGCCACCGCCTTGTGTGCGCTTGATTCCCCAAATACAGCATGTTTGTTTTTACCTGTGAGGGAGTGTGGGTTGGCTCCATTGATGAAACGTAGCACCCACCCACATGCATCCCGGTCTTATTCCTTCGGGTTTACGCTGGATATGGGTTGGGTAGTGCAGCTCAAGCTACCCATGTCCCTCCGTAGGCACAGGCCACAGTGACAGGCAAATCCGAAACCGGATGCCGGCGAGCATATATATATATATATATATATATATATATATATATATATATATATATATATATATATTGTATGTATGTGTGTGTTGACCTTTCTCATCAGGTTACTTGTCTTTTTATACGATTGCACGTTTGTTCCCTTTTTCTTACAGGGAGCTCACAGAGAAACGCTTTACCATAGATAGTCCGGAAGTGCTTCAGCTTATTTCAGCCCGCATTGATGTTGTCGAAGCCAGACACGAGCAGACAATCAAATCGCTTAATGAAAAGCAAGTTGTTTTTCTGATCTTGGCTTTCCTATTCTGCCATCTGTTCAGTACACTACCGGGCGGCATGTACGTGTCAGCTCAAATTAGTCTGAGATTTCCTCGAGTTATAATTATCGAATAAAACTTTTAATTTGTTTAATGTGCTTCTCCGTCACTAACTTCGTTTTCTTTTATGTCTGTCAGGGGCTCCAGTTTTGTCACCCATGTCCATTTAAAACTGCTGGTTTTATGCCAGATCTTACGAAACTGTGTCACGTGGTAACTTTGTGAAAATAGGTAAATCATGTAGACACACATACACACACACAGTCCCTTGCCCTCAACACTTTCCCTTATTTTGCGAATGCATGAGTTTTAACATAGCAACTGCTGACCAGCGCATATGGCCGTTATTTCGCTTTCCTTCACCCTTTTTAGACTGAAGGAAGCTGACGTTCGATTCCATGCATTGGAAGATGAATTTCGCCTCGCTCTACGCATTGAGGCTGAACGGTACGGAGAGGTGAGATGGGATGTGCGCTCTATTCTGTTCTCTTTGAGCTAATCTCCTCTTCATTTTTGTTACTGGAAACATTCTTCACTGTGTCTCTTCTACCTTTCGCCTTGCACCTTCCACGTTCCTGCATATGCATTAGGATATTATGGGTGAACCTTATGCTTTATTACACCGAATTATCTTTTCAGCTATGTTTTTAGTCGCCATTTCCCGTTGTTATCCTCATTCCACAGCTGTATAGTACTGCCGAAGCTTTGAAACAAAAGCTTACCGATTCAGAGTCGCTTACCAAGGACCTGGAACAGCGTGAGGAGTCTGCGCGGCAACTAGTAGCTCAGCTAACCTCGGTGAGACCACCTTTACTCCCAGTGACCTTTTTCTTCCTATCTCTTGCGTTTTGCATGTCGCTTGGTAGGCCTGGTGCCACCACACTCTTTTCGACGTGATTTCATCCACCGGTGCCAGAAACCACCGCTCACATCTGGTGGGATCAGATTGCGAACATCGCTTGCGGCACAATAGCGGAGGTGTTTTCCCACCTCTAGCCGACGTGTATAATGAATGAAATGAATGCGAACACCGGTTGTGCCCACTAATGAGTTTGCTACAACAAACCCCTTTACTCCGCATTGTGCGTGTTTTGTAAATGCAAAGCCTGTGCCGTGTTGGTCGCATCCTCCGCGGTGTAATAATCCAAGGTGCAAACACAGTTGTTTTCTATGGCAATCATTATCAACCATATGCATCAGCTCTAACCAACAAACTTTCCATTCATTTTCAAACTCTCCAGAAGTCCGCGTGGCGCGCTGTTTTTCCATCTATTCCTAATGTAGATAATCTGCGGCACTCCAAGCGTTAGTATAACCCACCGTTCGCCCGTTACCACCTGGATTTCTTGGCCGTCCTCGGTAAGCGGTGACCAGGCATATGTAGTACGTGCCTAAGCCAACGCTACTTAATCAGTGCTATCTATCGTTCTAAAGAAATATCTTGTTTGTCACTGCCTTGTACTCGCCTACGCACATCATCTTTACAGAGACGTTGGTGCCACCCGACTCCAGCAATGCTCCGCAGACAGCGATGATCAAAGACTTGGAGATGCCGCAGGTCTTCAGCTCAGAGGGGCCGAATTTCACTCACAAATAGCAGGACGGCCTTCACTGTTGCTTTGTATACACGGCATTTTAGAGGGAGCGAAATTGTTGTGTCGGAGTCCCGCGACTGCTTCCACCCACTCACGGTAGTGAGAACACGAACGACCAGGGACAGAGATTCAAGGGTTCGTTATATAGCATAAGGCACAAACATGAAAGCCAACCAGAGTACAGAAAGCATGCGGACAATTAAAGCCATTAAGAACGGAACATGCAAGGAACCAATAAAGTGCACACAAAGGACGTAAGCTGAGAGTGATAGCGTCAGAGGATTCCTTCGATCTGAATGCAAAAACAACGACTCCAAACAGCCAATAGGGATGGCGAAATGATGCGTTAAAACCAACACCGGTGAACCTCCATAGCAGAACGAAAGTCTGCAGTCATAAACGGCTGCGCAAACATACCTGTATTTTGCTTGCTCCTCCAACACCTCTTTTTGAGAAATAAATTCATATTTGGTCCTCATGGTTCTTTCGACTGGGGAATCCACCTGGGCCCACTTGCGTCCTACACCATGGCGGTTCGGGCTTCAGCCACGGCACCAGTGTCGTCCGTACAGTTAGCTTGTAACCACGCAAACGTTTAGAACAGGTATGTCAAATATTGGATACAGTAACAATCATTACAGAACTCACATGACTCGGTGTTTTACGAACGAGCGAAATGTACCGAATAAGGGAAAAACCACTAGGCATAGGATTCAGTGTCAATACGAGCTAATCACAAATGTGAGTCAAAAGTGAACGTATACAAGGAACCGTAAAAGAGAGCGGGGTGAGTGGGGCAAAGTTCACAATACAACGGAATGGTAGAGTAGTCGTACCTCCGCTGTAACACCTCTCCCCCTTGAAAAACATGAGTATGCTGAGAACAGTGTAGCTCTTCACACAAGGGGATCCGCCTGTGTCCACATTCATCCAACACCAAGGTGGTTTAGGCTCAGGCCAAGTGTGCAGTGTCGTTTGTTCGAGTACGTTGTCAGCACAGAAGTATTCGGGATATGTATCCCCCATTAGTGCAAGACATGATATGATTCGTTGACTCACTGAGCAAGTATAACTTCTGAATTCCTTTCACTTCGGAAACATTTTGAAGCGCTAGAAATTTAGGTTTGACTACCCATGTGCCAAGTCCTGGCTGGGTTGATAGAGAAAAGGTCTTGATACTATTCATCTTTTCTGGTCGCAGCGATACCGGAAGATTGTTGCGTTTCACTGTAGGGTATTTTCTCTTCCCTGGAAAGTCTGTGCGAAATACTGCAGAAGTCGCTCCCTTACTGCGCTGCGAAACCGGTTTCTTTGGGATTTGGAACTTGCTTGTAATCTTGGAGTATACGTGCATTTGAAATTGTGCGCGTTTTGACAAGGAGGACTTTTGTGAGCGAAATTTCTCGTAGAATGCCTCTCACCTTCGTTCCAAGACGTAGTCGGGGGCTTCTGGTCCGGCACATCTGGATTCATATTTTGGCCATTAATAGCTGCGTGACAGAACTGGGGTTCACTTCTGGGTTCTGAAACCAACAGCTTTTAGATCATTGTTCAACGAAGCAGCCTGTGACATTCAGCTGCAATTTTCTGTGATATCTGCATCGGTTCCGGCTTTCATTCCACATAGATGTTTAGTTTTTGTGACAGCAATTCAAATAACTGCTGCTTTGACTTTTCAAATTGAAACTGCTGCTGAAGGACGGACTGCAACTGCTCGAATGAGATAGCCATGATTATTCAACACCTCCGTCGCCAGAAAATCTGTTGTGTCGGAGCGCCGCGACTTCTTCCACCCACTAACGGTAGTGAGAATACGAACGACCAGGGACAGAGATTCAAAAGTTCTTTTATATAGGGAAACCAGTTCGTTATATAGCATAACGCACAAACATGAAAGCCAACCAGAGTACGGAAAGCATGCGGACAATTAAAACCAATAAGAACGGAGCATGCAAGGGACCAATCAAGTGCCCACAAAGGACGTAAGCTGAGAGTGATAGCGTCAGAGGATTCCTTCGATCTGAATGCAAAAACAACGACTCCAAATAGCCAATAAGGATGGCGAAATCATGCGTTAAAACCAACACCGGTGAACCTCCATAGCAGAACGAAAGTCTGCAGTCGTGAACGGCTACACAAGCATACCTGTATTTTACTTGCTCCTCCAACAGAAACTCCCTGCTGACCCGCTTAGGTGTCACAGATCCAAAAAGGCAGTTCTAGCTTTTGCAGTGTGTGAACTGACTTTAGTCGTTATGCGCTGCCAAGGTAAGTGAAGTGATCAAATGCCTCGAGGTCGTGCCACAAAGGGTTCAGTGGTCATCAAGTGGCTTGTGATCCTGTAACAGCACTTTGCACTTCGAGGGCGCGAAGCGCGTACCAAATAATGGGACTACTCTAGTGAGATGATTCAGGGTTGATTGAGCCGCGCCGATACCTTTTTAAAAAGCAAGACAATATCGTCCACATACTCAAGGTTAGCCAGCTATTCACCAAGCAGCACTTCAACGCCTGCATCATGTGGCTCCGAAAGGGAACACTTCTTGATACAGTCCAGGACGAAGTTGGACAAAAATGAGAAAACCGGGTAATGAACTTCACATTCAAGAGTTTCAATAAATCACGAGCAATGCTGGTCTTTAGCAAAGCAAATATTCCCATTTCATTAATATGAATCAGTTTCAGAAATCAGTTCAGAGTGAAGAATTCGGTAAACTCTCATCGGACCCAAACGTTTACATAACACTGATTTTGGGGAAAGCGTCAACTTGGGCTGGACTGTTTGAGCGATCAAAATCGATAACTTGAGACAAAGATATAGATGGTATGCCAAGTGAACTACATAAACATGCATACAATGCTTAGTAGTCCTAAGTAATTAGATATGTAACGTAACAATCAAATAACTAAGTAACAATGTCCGTTGGCCAAGGTAGTAGTATCGGCCGTATGAATCGTTTTCGTACACATAAAACCGGCTTCAAATGGTGACAGATTCATTTCGCAAAGATTACCAGCGGTGTTATGCCTGCCTGAAGACTTGAGACAACCTTTTGAAGAATATGTAGAAATGGTTAAACAGAAAATGGGAGTAACGAATCAAAAGAAGTTAGTTAATACGCTTAGTAGCCATGTCCCCCAGTTGACATCGCCGGATAACCTGCAGTAATATGTGTTTAAATTTTCAAGTGTGATACTAACCCAGGCGCAGCTGAACATGTTATCATTGGGTCCAAAGTTTTGCCTTCCATGTAGGAAAATAGATCAGGCGGATTTAGAGATGCAGTTTGAAAGCCTAATTGCTCAGACTAGAGACCTGCTTCTAACCTCATCAAGTGATGTTGAGAATCTAAAATCTAGCCTAGTTCATTATTGTCACGATTACGTTAAGACCAAATCATCTAGTAATAGCATTATCACTGGGGCAAAATTCAGTCACTTAAAGGGCTGCGGTTAAACATTGAATTAATAATCTCTAAGCCAGACAAGGGCTCCGGTATAGTGCTAATGGATAGGGTGGATTCTATCCATAAAATACAGCACATCTTCAGTGACAAGAGCAAGTTTCAGAGACTCATGGCAGGGAAAGACAACACAGGGGAGTTAGAGAAACAGCTGATCGGTTGCCTCAGGCAAATGATGCAAGCCAAACTCATTACGAAGAACGAATTCGACAAGCTAAAGACTTCAGGCGGACACCTACCGAGGGTATATAACCTGCCTAAAGTTCACAAGGAAGGCGCCCCGATGCGCACAATCTTGGACATGGTGGGTTTTCCTCAGCATTTGTTGGCCCAATGGATGGTGGTGAAGCCGCAGCCGTTACGGAATTTGGTTTACACTTAGTGTGTGAGAGACATGTTCGAATTCATTGATAGGATATCTGAAATCAATCTTGTTAACAAAGGATGGTATCATTCGATGCCAAGTCGCTGTTCACAAACATTCCTTTGCTCGAAACCCTGGATTACGTATGTGAGCTTGCTTGGCAACTGCTCATATACGCAACTTTTCCGGAGAATTTGCTAAAGGTGTTGTTATTTCGTTGCACGTTAAATGTTCAGTTCAACTTCAATGGTGAAATGTACCGTCAGATTGACGGAGTGGCCATGGGATCTCCTTTGGGGCCGCTGCTGGCTGATATTTTCATGGCGAAATTGGAACATGGCCCACTTGCAACGCACATCCGTGAAACCGAAATGT